CTTGGTTTGAGAAAATATTTTTTGTTTTTATTTTCATTTTTTAGAAAATAGATTTTATTTTTTATTTTTTATTTTCTAAAATGTATTTGATAAACAAAAATAAAATTGTTTTCAACAAATGTAAAAATAAGGAAATAAATAAAATATTGAATGACATTACTATTAATTGTATCTAATTATAAGTATAATATATATTTATTAATTAATGACATTAAAAAAATATTCGAATATGATAACTTACAAAATATAAGAAAAAGAGTAATGTACATCCATTGTTTTTATAATAAAAAAACATATATTTTTTTTATTTTCATATTTCAACTAATTTTCATTTTTGTTTTCTAAAATTTTGTTTTCATTTTCAAGTACTAAACAAGTTTTCACTCATTTTTTTTTTATTTTCCAAGAAATAAAATAAAAAAAAAGACTTTGTTTTTTGAAACCAAACATATTTTTTTTCACTTTTATTTTTATTTTAAATCTTTATCACATGTTGTAATTTCTCTTTCAACCAAAAAAAAAAAAATCATATTGGAACTACTTTACAATAGGACAAAAAACAAAAACTTTTAGTCTGAAAATTTCATCATCATTCTTTTAAAAGAATGTTTAATTTTCTTTGTTTTGATAAAATGTTTAAATATGATTGATTTATTCAGTTTTTATTTCAATTTTAAATTGTTAAAAAAATTTCCATAATTCTTTGATTGATTGTATAATTAGTAATTCAACAATTAATTATAAATAATGTTATTGTTAAAAGTATAATGTTGTCATAATAATATTTTTGTTTTATAATTTTATGAGCTTATCATATTTTTATTAGTGTATTGTTTGTATATATATATATATATATATATATATTTATTTATATTTATAAGTATGATAAAATATATCTTAGAGAAAAATAAAGTATATTATATATTATTAGTTGACCCTTTAAAATTCACCGCTGATTCTAAATATATCAGCTTTTTTATTTGAAAAAAAATTTGGAATCCTAATTTTAGTGCATAAAATCATACGACCACAAAATAAATTCTCGGATGTATGTTTATACAAGCCTTGATAGATGTGAATTGCGACATTTTAGCAGAAGATCAAACTTGAAGGTGCTGTGCTAAAAATGCTGCTCACATCTCATCCATTTGGGCTAATTTAGTTACTACCCATGCCAGTAGGATCCCTATTTTTTTTCCAACTTAGGTAAATGATAAGTGCAGCAAAGCTTACGAAAAAATCCCTCCAACTTACCCCCACCTTTCTATTTATTTATTTATTTATTCTATTTTTCCCCCTATATAGTGCATCCTATACAATTGAAAGAAAAATAGGTGGTTGTTTCATAAGAAAACAATATAGGCAACGAAAGCCTAAAAATAAGGGATGTTTGCTTCAAATGAAAAACATTTTTTCAAGCTTTTTTTTTTTTTTTTCAATAAGTCCATCGGTGGAATGACAGGGGAATGGAAATTTGATACTTACCCTTTAACAAATCTTTGTCCTACATGGGGGAATTTTAGTACACATCCCAACCCAAATTCCATCCAAGTGCAAAAATACAATAACATTTTTAGTAGAAAAAGTTTTATTTTATATATTAACTAAATTATAACCCGTGCGATATACGAAATAATTTTACTTATTTAATATGAATATATATATATACACACAAATTATTTTCTTTCTAAAATTATATTTAAATCTTTAAAATTCATAGCATATATAAAATTTATATATTTTGACTTACCATCAAAAAACAAATTTTTTGAAAATAGTAAGAAAAAATTATGTCTTTTCTTTGGATATTTTTATTTACAATAATATGTATGCACCTATAAGATTATCTCAAATAAAAATAAATTATATCTTTCTTAAAAAATAAAAATATATATTATTGAATGATAAATTAAATAATAAAAGAAGTATTAACATACTTTCACTTTGGTAATCTTGACTAAATTATTATACAAATTATGAAAAATGTTAGAAAATATGTGAAAAAAATAAATTAAAAAATATTATTTTTCATAAGAATGAAACTATAATAATAATAAAATATATTTTGAAAACAAGTTATAAGAAAAAAAAATTGCAATAGTAATAAAATATACCTTAAAAAAGTTACTGAAAAAATAAAAAAATTAATGTATAACACATTACATTTATAGTCTTAAATTTGTATAAGGATTCTTTTAGTGATAATTAGGATTAAATAAATAATTTTTAAATTAATTTTTTTAATTTAAAATAGATATAATAAGTGATAAAGATAATATTAAAATTTTTTGCAGTTATTTGAAATATAAATTTAATAATTAGAGTTCAAATGAATATAATCATTTTGATAATTTTATTATTTAAAGATTTAAGATGAAAATTTTTGAATTTTCAAAAGCTTACATAAAATTGCTTTAATTTTTAATATCTTACGTAAATTTTTTAAAAAGATAATTTTTTAAATCAAGATAAAAAAAATTGTTGAAAGATTTAGATAAACTTAATCTTTATAATTTTTAAACATATTTGAAAAGTTTTGATAATTAAATAATTTTTTAAATAATGTTATTTGATAAACAACTAAAATTATTTATTAACAAAAATAAAATCTGTATTTCATATCTTTAATTTTAGAAATTATATCTCTAAATTGATTTAATTTTAAATTATAATTTAAATAATTTGAATATTTGAATAAATTTAAAATTATCTAATTTGTAATTAAAATAAGCTATCTTATTTTTTTAAAAAAATTATGTTTTATGTCATTTAAGGGAATTGTTTATATAGACGCTTATATGATAAATTTATTTATGTATGTTGTTATATAATATATAATAATAATAATAATAATAAATTGGTTGAGTTATACAAGTGATTTTTAAAAAAAATTTTACAAAAAATACATTGATGATAAGAAAAAAAATTATAAAAATTAGAATTTAAATTTTAAATATGCTAAACACTATCTCTTAAATAAAATAAATTAAACTCTTAATTTAATTTAATTTATTTTCAATCTATCACTTTAATACTACAAATAAACTTACAATCTCAAATTTTCATTAAAATCAAAAGTACCATAAAAAGGAACATAAAAAAGTATCATTATAATAATGTGTTTCGAGAAAAAAATATGTCCCGGGTCTAATTCCATAATACAATGATGATAACAGCTCCAATGATGTTTTATGCCACCAAATTTTTTAGAAGAGAAGCTGTTTATTTATTTATTTATTATTGTTGCTATTATTATTAATTTTATTAAAGTTGTTGGAACAATAAAACTCTTCTTTTCCAACAGAAAAAGGCTATTCAAATATCACAATTTCCTTTAATACACTGCCTCACGCACAATAAAAAGCAGATCGTCTAAAATAAAGTAAGAATTATGAAATTCACCTATAAAAACAGTGTTCTATGATAATATTTAACCTAATACCTGCAACTATAAGAAGTTAATATTATACATTTCACCTATAAATTAATGTCTCCCTCATTTATTCTTCTTCATTTTTTTAAAAATTTTTTTCCATTCTTTTCTTGGATTTGAGAATCATCCCATGTGAACTTGCGAACCACCATCAAAGAAAACAGAAATTCCCAAATCAACTTTAACTAATATTTTTTTTATAAGAAAAACCCTTTAAAAAGTGAGATCAAATTGTGGTTTTCACTGCTGTGATGGGAAAAGTGAGATCTAAATCTGATTTTTCACTGTGAAGCCTTATGGCTTCTATTGAAACTTGTGCTTTTAAAATGTGGGGCTCCCCCAAAAAAAAAAAAAAAAAAGAAAAAAATCAGTTGCCCCATGCTCCCATCCTTAAACTATCACGAGTTTTGTTAAGGTTGTTTTTAAAGCTAGTTAATAAATTATTTATGATAATATTTTTATTAAACATAATATATTTTTATAATATAATTAAGAATATAATGAGATTTTATTTTAATTTAAAATTTTAAAACAATTTTAAAAATATATTCTTTTTATATTTACATGAAAATTTCAAAATTTTGTTAAATATAATAATTAAGAGTTAATATATTAATTTTTAATAATTAAAAAATATTATTTAAAATAATAGCATTAAAGACTGCTATTTGGACACTTGTTAATAAAACCTGATTCTTTTTTTTATATATAATAAAACCTAAATCCAATTTAGACAAACTATTAAATTACTATCATTATAAAAGTGTTTGGAATTCGGTAAACAAAATTTTCATTCCCATTACAAGTCAAACACTAGTTACTCAAGTAATTAAGGAATTTATTACCTATAATAAAATTTACAAACTTTTAGGTCCATTTCCTTTTTCCCAAATCACCCTTGTCCAAAAATCAATCCAATCCTCACGAAAAAATTCTTTAAGGGGTATTAGAGTAAAATGAAACCAAAAAATAAGAAATTCCACCCCAATGACACATCATCCTTTTATTTGTGATCCCATGTGAGTATGCCTCGAAGCTAGCGACCCCTCAAGCATAAAATACAAAGGCATTTGCCGACTCTTGTTTCACCGGTGGCCCTGTTGATTTCCATTTCCCATTTTCATTTAACAATCTCAATTATCCCACTCATTTAAAGCTAAAAAAACCCCCCTTTTTAAGATTCAAATTTTAGTATTATTTGTTTAGAGTAACTGTTTTAAAAAAAAAACTTCTAGTTTTCTACAAGTATGTGGTGGACTAGTTCACGTGGGTTTTTTTAATATACTTTATGCTAGTTTTAGAAACAAAAAGCATTAATTTTTCATAATCATGCTTAATAATTAAAATAGTGTGATTTTCAGAGAAAAGAGCTTTTGAGATTTTTAATTTTTTAGCACACGGGTTTTAGGAACTCTGTTAATTTTTGCAGGCAAAGTTGAAGGGTGCGTTTCTAATGCTTTTGAGAAAAAGAATGAGGGAAAGAGAGCTTGATATAACTCAATTAGGGGTGGGATTCTAGTCAAAGATCACAACCTGGGTTCTTGCTTCCTGCGCTTTTGGTTTTGTGTTTTGCGAAGATTGAGACATCTCAGTATTCTTTTTCTTTTTCTTTTTTCTTGGGTTTTACACTTGTTTCTTGTACTGCTGAAGGATATCTTCAAGTAATATGTTAATAGTAAGTTTTCACTCTAAGGATAAAGGTTTTCTTGAGTGGAAAGTTTAAAGTATTTTTGGTTTGTTTTTTTGATGTAACTTAGAGGGGGGGGGGGATTGAAAATGAAATCTTTGAGTAGTGTAGGACTTGGTTTGAGCATAGTTTTTGGTTGTCTCTTGTTAGCTTTGGTTGCTGAGTTATATTACTTGTTATGGTGGAAGAAGAGACTAACCAGCAGAGATATTGAAAATGATTACAGTAATCCAGCTAGGGAGTTGTTTTACATGTTTTGTTGGAAAAGGTCATCTCCCATGACTCACTCGGCTTTGAATCCTCAAGAAATAAGAATGACAGAAGAACAACAATCTCATCGGCTTCATCTGCACTCAAGCAAAGATTTATTGTTCAAGCCTTTTGATGATCATGGCATGGAAAATGAGCTAATGGTTCTGCATGGTCTGTCTGGGCCACCAAGATTTCTCTTCACAATTATTGAAGAAACAAAGGAGGATTTGGAATCTGAGGAAGCTAAGTCTAAGAGTGATAACAAGAGTAGAGTTGGGTCAAGAGGAAGGAGCTTGAGTGATCTGCTTCTCACTGTTGAAACCCCATATTTAACCCCACTAGCTTCTCCACCATTTTTCACTCCTCCTCTTACTCCAATGGATGCGTGTTACAATCAACAAGGATTCAACCCTTTGTTTGAATCTGCAACTGATGCTGAGTTTAATAGGATGAGGTCATCACCTCCTCCAAAGTTCAAGTTCTTGCAAGAAGCAGAGGAAAAACTTCATAGGAAAAAACTAATGGAAGCAGTCGAAAAGAACAATGGATTTGGTCAAGAAAATGGTGACATGACTCCTTCAAAGTATCTCGAAGATGAGGAAGATGGATCTTTTATCACAATCATTGTTTGATAGGAACAAAGAAAGAGGGCTTAATCAGTCTAATCACAATCATCAACAGCAATTTCATTCAAGTGCTACCACTTCCCAGGTACTTCCTCTCAGTTCTTCACCTTCAACATTCAAGTCACCAGCCAGGACTACTCCCATCTAACACTATTTCTTAGATTTTCACGACCAACCAAAACTAAAATTGAAAATTTTTTTTCTTTAAGAAAAAAAATTAGTAGCTTTTTCATTGTGCTTTTAGGTTTTGATTTATTATTTCATTTTTGCTTAATTTGCTATGTAATCTTTTAATGGAGAGAGACAGCATTCTCTTCTCCAACATCATGATGTGAGGGTGGTCTAATGCCGAGTGGGAGGGGACTATTGGGGTTACTTGTTTTATTCCAATCTCTATTCCTCCACGTCTGTTTGATAACTGTAATCATTCTATGAGTGAATTGATTTACTAATGTTCTTTCTTAAGAGAGCACTGTAAAATTTTTTGAACAAAATTTGTGATAGACTTTGTCCAATTTTCTAGATCAAAATAAAATGTATTAAGGGTCATGCATTCGAAATTAATATGAATGAAAAATTATTGATAAAATTCGAATCTAATACCCATCAAGATGGATGAATTTTGCAATTAAGCTAATCCCAAACCGTTGTTGGTGATGCTAGTATGTTGACATTCTTCTGCTGGATGATTATTGTTCAGTGTTTGCTGAATAAAAACTTTTGGCACATAATGTGATGTGGACCGTCCGATGAACACCAGACAAAGGCTTTTGGGTGGGCCAAGATGTGTTACAGTTTTTATCTATGAAATATGTATGTGTATAAAAAAAAAAGTACATTATATTTCAACAAAGTGACAAAACAGGGAAAAGAGAAAAATGAAAAAAAAAAGGTGAAGATGTGTAGTGATTGGTACGATACCTTTACGCTTTTTCCAAACAACAAAGAGATGCAATTGCCCGTGAAAGTGTCTCGTGGGCACAGAGCTGAAAGCAACCCAGCCTGAAAAATCATTACATTTTTACACGGCACTTTCCTTTTCCATTTCCTCTTTCACATTAATTGCTGGGACTGAGCGGGAGGCCATGGCTGATAAATTATAATCATGAATTCATGCTTTTTTTTCCCTTCTCTTTGATACAGAGTTGCAGTTCTAACTATTTGTATACAGAAATTTGAATATCTTTGATTTCATTATTTGCACGGAGCTATAAACAAATAATTTTGATATGTGCAGAGTAATAGAGGCTTAGGTTCTGTTAGGCGCAATGGTACGGACTTTGAGAAGACTCATAAATTTTGTAACGGTTGTGAACGAGAATTGGTCTTTCAATATATGTATTTATATTATTTTTAATTTGTAAGACATTTCATGAGATCCAAAAGATTGAAATAAATAATATTTTATAAGTTAGTATGAATAGAAATATTTAGTATAAAAACAACTCTAAAATATTAATGATGTATCACAAAAAATTGTAAACTTTCGATGGAGTAGAGAAAACTATTATTATCTTAGAAAATAAGTCATGAATCTTATATTATTTATGTATTAAAATTTATTTTAAGATATAAATATTTATATCACTTTTAATTTGTGAGATATTTTTTTCAAAATAAAATCTGAAATGGACAATAGATTAATATAAATGATTTACAGCATGACGGTGTGGTGTGTGAGAGTGCCTTTTCCACCACACTGAAGCCTCGAATCCCTAGCGAACCCTTATAAATACTCCCATCACGCCGTCCTGTCCTGCCCTGCCAAAGGGAACCTAAGGTTATGTTCGTTTTGGATGGAATGAAAAGGATCCTTTATTGCAATGCAACTACAGTCAAGCTCATTTTTTTTTCCTAGAGGTCCAAACAAGTCTCAGGCCCCGTGCCATTTTCAATTTTAGCTAAGCGGGGCAGAAACTTACAAATAAAAATTGTGACTGCAATGATGCAACATTTTGATCTGTCTAGAAGGAAAATAGTGAAATGTAAGATAATACTTGCTTCAGATTTAAAATTGAAAGTGAATTATGGAAGAATGCAACGGCACTTGATAACGTTAATTAGTTAAGCAACACGTTCAATTTATTGCTTGGATGCAGTAAATTTACTTCCATCACCAAATCCTAAGAGATTTAAATTGTGAATGAAAGATGCATTCATGACAACACGGGACATGATGATATGGAACACGATAATGGATGAGAAATGTGATTAATCGAACAAAATAGGGGTGTCCTGTCATACAAAGTTCACAATTTTTATTACAACCTGAACTTTCTTAATTACATACATCTTCAACTCAGGGATGCAAATCAATGGGTTTAGTTTTAGAAACAAAAAATAAGCAAAGAAGAGTACATCTACAAGTCAGATATGTAACCATTGTGGTACAATCAGTATGGAAGTGCAATGGGATTCAAGTTAAATAAATTACATACCCAATGAGATGAAAAGCAAAAATGGTGTCAAATGATTCCCAAAGCAGCAAGATCAGTCATTCCCAGTTTAGCACACGGGATTCAAGCCAGGTTCTTCCAAAAGGCTGAATGCAGTATATCCATAGTAGGAATGATATATATCTGGTAGCTCCCCCGGATGCTTACTGAAACCTCCAAACTCGTAAAAATAGGATATATAATATAATTATCCCCTCCCCCCCCCCCCCCAAAAGAAAAGGAACATAAGTGACAGTCTTACAGATAAGAATCTCAACCTTAGTAACATTTGATAAATGGAAATTCATGCAGAGATAAGGTTCATTATATTAATATAATTAGGTTACATACATGTACATGAAGCAGGGCCAACTCGTTTGACATTTTAAGCTTCACACTCCACCCCCCCCCCCCCGGTCCCCTTTTTTTAATGCCATTTTCCATTGCTCTCAGTATTAAATTCCCTTTTGCAAAGGCATTTTATATAGAAATTTCAATAATCCCTTCCTCCCTCAAAGGTTGCTTCCAGATTAATAAATCGTTGGTTTGCAATTAGGAGATGGTGACTTCCATAAAAAGACTATGGTTTAAAATTTTCAGGCATTGGTTCCAGCTTGCACCCAAGCAAGCAGTTTCTTGTCTTCCATGTATCATCATGGCAGGCTGCTTCATTTACTTTATTATTTAAATTCAAAGTGCATGTTATGTCTTCGATTCTGGAACCACCATTTATATGAGGGTGCTCTTGAATGCATGCTAAATTAGATGAAATGCCAAGAAGCAGTAGCAGCACCTCAGATTGACAAGTCTGCGTAAAAGCAATCTTGTCAATGAATTTGTAGCCTCCTAATATCCCCAAAACTGCCCCAACCCTACACAAGAACATCATCTCATCAACACAAAGGCAGCTTATATCATGTAATGAACAAAGGTTTTTCTTATGCTTACCAGAAATCTGCCATCAGTTGCCTGTCTCTGTTTGAGAGAGGAGAGGAGAGAGGATAAAATCATTCTTGGGCAAAAGAAATGCAAAAGTACTGATCACTCAACTCAAAAATTAAGTTTGCACACAGAGATAACGATATTGAACCATCTCTTAAAAAGCATTTTCCTTATTAGCACCTTTAAGCTCTTAATGGCCTTTAAGGTGTCCATTGTGTACTTCTAGATATTAAGCTAAACTTTACATCTTCCTGGCGTACTAAGTGATGCTTCCAGATATCAAATGACAAAAGTAAACCTGCATACTCCAATCCAGTAATAACGGCACATTTATGATGGACGATGATGCATTTTTTGACAGAAGATCATCTTCAATATACCCCATTAACGGAAGAGATGCCACGGCACAATTTGTACCACCCCCTGCATCACTAAGACTAATGCTGTTGGTAAATATCATCAAAGTGAACAGAATCTGAAAACTAAAGAAATATAGAGCAGAGCAGCTTCATGCAGAAACTTTTCCTACAAAAAAATAGACCGGTAAGCAAATGACATTGAAAATGTGATAATTTGATGAAAGAAGTTGTTTGAGGGAAACAAAAAAGAAATGACATCAGTTAAGTAGGACCAAACTCATGCTCAGCCTAATTTGTTTATAAACTCATATGATGACTAAGAGCAACGAGAAAATTGCAGAGAAACAATGATTAGACCCTGCTCTAGATGCACAGAGGTGACAGAATATATATTAAGCTATTACATGAGATATTTTTTAACTCACCAGGTGATTCTAAACCAGGCATTAAGCCAAAGCCACCGTCGGAAGACTGACAGAATAAAATCACTTTTACTTCAGTATATATGCATAACCTAAACAGAAAATAAGATAAAATGGAAACATTGGCAATTTAAGATGTATTCCCTGGCTTTCTCTCTATCCATGCCACTCCAATCCTCCAACATAAAGCAGATAGCAGCTGATACATCAATTAACTAAATCGAAATTTCATTATGGAGAACTCCAACAGATTGAGCTTTCATTGTAACTGGTAATGATTTCGGTTCTTACCAGCACTATATACAAACCGAAGATTTGTCTCTGCCCCAACATGCAACGGCATAAAACTGAAGATCAAGAAAACAATAATCATCAACTTCATGCAATGGTAATCAGTCTAGAAGATCTATCACATGAAAAATAGAGAGGAAGAAAATACAAATTTGAGTTTAAATGACATGTTTTTTCCCCTTCCCTTTCCATTCTTTGCCTGGGCATAAGAATATGATCAGGATATAATTGATTGCCCTTACAAACAGTATGCATAGCTGGACTTTGACCAAAGAATCAATTAATATTCATCTCTAACAAGCATCTATGGCAAATTTCTTCTGTCAATAGTGTATAAGAACTATACTTTGAAGCATACCTACCATCAGGCTGTTGAAGATTTCTCATGGATATGAATATTGATTCTTTGTCCACAGTAGAGAGATTAAAGCCAACCATCTTTAGTATGGCTAGGGCACAATACGTGCTTGCCAAGTGAACAGCATTATGAGCTGAGACCTATATGCAGAATAGACAGAAAAAATTATTAACAATAAAATAATAATAAGAAAACAGATAATATACAATGAGTTTCTCATACCCCATTTTCATCTGGAGGGAACTGTGAAGTCCTAGAACCATGGAAATAAAATTGTCCTGCACGAAAAAAACAATCTCCTTTTAGAAAAATTTCCTTTTCATAATATCAAAAGCGTAATAGAGCATGAAAACCCAACAAATGAGACAACATTCTTCAGCAAAAGCTCAAACCATTTTTCAATTCGGCTTTACTTCTCTGATGAGCTTGAAATAATAAAACCCAATTGGCAACTCTGTCCTTGTCAACCACAAAACCACAAACAAAGGCATCAAATTGTACAGCATCTCTAAGAATGCAATGTGTCGATCATTGTCTAAGTATGCCAGGGGCGATGATGGTGATTATAATGATAAGGTGATGGCGACAACGATTGAAATGTCGACATTTCCTCTTCCTTTTCTCCTTCGATTTCGAAATTTGATGGGTTGCAC